ATATTATAATGTTAACGTAAAAATATATATTTATATTATATATTCACACCACAGACATATGCTAATGCCAATGGTTTCGAAAGTTAGAGTCAGGACCCACAATGAGGTCCCATAACATCTAGGTGGGGTCCTGAAAAGATTTTCTGATTAATTATATTAGAAAATAACAACTAACATCAGTTTTTTTTGCCTTTGTTGTTACAAAAGAGTAAGGTTAGTGTACTTAAAATGGACAAAAAAAGCATAATGAATGTAGTTACTATGCTCTTATTTTTTTGACGTGAAAACGATGTTTATCATCCAACACCATTTGGGAGCTCAGGTCTCTGCTGCTGGTATTTTGAGGGTCAAAAGCTGAAAGGTTTGGGAACCACTGGTCTTGGCTACATATGTCTGTCCTGCTGAGTGTGACATGATTTGTGTCGTGCAGCTATCATGGAAACTAACACAGAGTCAGAATTGTTTATATTTATAAATATTGTATGTGTTTATTTATTAAAAGCAGGTATTACTTGATGAATTGCATGTAAAGTTTTGAATGCACAGTGTGCTGATCGTCACCAAACAAACGTTTGTGATCAGATTTAATCGTGAATGCGTCATGAACTGATCAGATCTGTGCATTCATTCTAAAGTTTCCTCATTGATTTAAACTCGGGGCCACTTGTCCCACACCAGACTTTGTTTCCATTTGTTTTGGCAGCTCTTCTGATCCAGAGTGCAGCCCACCATGTGATGCGAGGAGGGGTGGTGGGGGGTGGGGGGTGATGAGGCTTGGCTCTGCCTTCGTGTTTAAAGTGCAGCATAAGAACCCCGCAGGCTCAAAMAGCTCAGCCTCTCCTTCCCTTTCCTTCTGCTCCGACACCTCGCCGCGCCTCGTGCAGACATGTATCTCCTGGGCATCACTGTGGTTCTGGGGCTGCTGGGGGGGATGCGTGCTCAGGTCAACGTGGTCAACGTGCTGAGGCCAGCGTGCGACTCCCTCGAGGCTGAGGAGGCCGCCCTGGTGGCTCGGGATCACCTCAATGCCCAGCACAACCACGGCTACAAGTACGCTCTGAACAGGATCGAAGACATCAAGGTCCACCCTATGGTACGTCAGATCTTTTCATGTGTTTGCTTCAAAATAAGAAAACTACACTCGTTTAAAACACCAGAAACAGAAGAGCACGAATGTGTGGATCCTGATGTGAACATAAAGCAAGATTTTATGAAATTAAAACGTGTGAAMGAGGTTTTCTAATTAAAACGTAATGCGTTAATTCCCTGTGTTTAGCCTGATGGAAACAGCACCTACGTCCTGGAGGTGGACTTGCTGGAGACATACTGCCACGTGCTGGACCCCACGCCTGTGGACAACTGCACCGTCAGGCCCAAACATCTGACGGTGAGACTGCAGAACATGCAAACACTGATGAAGAGCCACTGCAGACGTCTGGACCTCAATAAAACCAAAGGGTTCTGGTTCTGTCTGAAGGGTCGGTTAATATGACCTTATCAGCCGTAAAGCTCAGAAATCTTCATGGCTTGGCTAACAGCTGATAAGAGACGAATGATTTGACAGAGGAGCACCTTGATTAAATTATCTTTGAATATTTGRAAGGTTTCACAATCCGCTGTTGTTTGGACTGATCCTTTGTCCCGTAGGCCATRGAAGGCGATTGTGACGTGGTGCTGAGGAAGGTTGGCGACACTCTGACTGTCACAGCGTTCAAATGTAAAACAGAAGGTAAAAAGTTACCATCAAACTCTGAATGTTTTACACAATTAAGCTTTCATCTTTATCTTCATCTACAGGTTTTAAACAAACCTGTTAGAATATTCCCAGAAGTTGGCAAGAATGAATATACTGTTAGTTCAGCAAAAATATAGGTAACATTTAAAGTTTCAGCAGGATCAAGGTAGAGCCACTAAAAACTACCTTTATTTTTTAAATATGATTGTAAAAAATCTCAGCTTTTTGCCAAACCTCATTTTAGCACTGCAAAAACTGTCAATCTAACCAAGTTTTAAAATCTTATATCAGCCGAAAAGTGTTTTTGATCTTGTTTTTGAGACTGATTTACTAAACAAGAACTGATTGTGTAAGAATAATCATCTTGTTTTCAGAATGTGTAAGATTATTTGTCTTGTTAGTCTGAAAATTTGACTCAAATTAAGTCAAACATTTCTGCCAGTGCAGTAAGAAAATTTTACTTGGTAAGATTCTTGAAATAAGAAAAAATCGAGTCAAATCAAGTATTTCAAAAGTCTTACCAAGTAAAATTTTCTTACTCCATTGGCATAATTTTTTGACTTAATTTGAGTCAAATTTTCAGACTAACAAGACAAATAATCTTACACATTCTGAAAACAAGATTATTCTTACACAGTCAGTTCATGTTTAGTAAGTCAGTCTCAAAACAAGATCAAAAAGACTTTTTGGCTGATATAAGATTTTAAAACTTGGTTAGGTGGACATTTTTAGCAGTGTGTGAACTTTTAAACAGTAGAAAATCTTCAGATGAGGTCTTAAACACAAACTAACAGCAGATTTGTGACATAAAACGTTAAAACCTCCATGTGTCTGTTTTTGTTGTCTGTCGATGATCAGAATCCAGAGAGGACATCTGTTTGGGCTGTTACACCCTGCTTCCCTTCAATCACACTGAAGGGCTGGACTTTGTTCAGGCCTCTCTGGCCAAACTGAACAACATGACTGAGAACGTGACGTACGTCCTCGCCGAGGTCGGGAGGATTTCCTCACAGGTGAGCCTCGACTTGRTTCTAATGATGCTCGGTTTGGGCCGGTGTCGTTCAGTCACACGTTCTTCTAAACGTCTTTTCAGGTGGTGTCTGGTGGAGCAAAGTACAACACAGAATTTATTGTCATCGAGGCCAGCTGTGTTAATGAAACCTGCATGGCTCTGACTGACGCCACGGCTGTAAGTAACAAKAAACACAAAGACATTTAAAGTATGTTATATTACAACTTCACCAGAAATTCACTCAAATCCTCAGGGCCAGCCTTAAAAAACATAATTTCAATGTCAGATTTAGGTTTAATTAGACCATTTGAAATTGTACAATATTTATTATAATTACATATWTTTAATTGTCTACATATTATCAAATGATTGGCTATCTATCCATATAACGTGTTACCAAAAATTATGTAAACATACCCTTTTTGTACAAAAAAAAGTTTAATCAACTGGGGAAACAATAGTGATGTAAAACATCCTGCTTAGCAGAAAATCTATGAACGGGGTGAGTCAAATGTTCCAGGACACCCTTTCATTTCAGAAAGGAAAGGGAAAATGATGTTTTTGAATGCTCCAGCAAGTAATGGATGTTGGTCGTCTACCCTTTTGATACAATATGGTMGCRATTTCCTGGATATAGGCCCCATCATCCATTACTTGCTGGGGTATTCAAATACATAATTTTCCCTTTTCTTTTTGAAATAAAATTYTCCTGAGACTTTTCAATTCAARTCGATTCAGTTTATTTATATAGCGCCAAATCACAACATGKATTGTCTCAGGGCACTGTACAWGAAAAAAGAACAATCTAAAGAAGAAACCAGCAGATTGTGTTGAATCACTTCATCACAGTCTCCCATCCTGAGCAAACGGTGGAGAGGAAAAACTCCCTGCTAATCAGGAAGAAACCTCCAGCAGAACCAGGCTCAGGACAGGAGGCCATCTGCCTCGACCAGCTGGGTTGGGGGACAGGAAAGAGACACAGACAAACACAGAAGAACTGGTCCAGGTGCACCTACTTCTGGAAAAGAGACAAAAGAAAAAACAAGTTATTGATGGAAATAATTACAATAAACATGTAGAGAAGAGAGACTAAAGGCAACAGCAGAGTGAAGAAATGTGCTCAGTTTGTGCTCCAGCAGTCTAAGTCTACAGCAGCAGAAATGAAGAATAATTCAGGAAACCTAAGACTAAATATAGGATTTATCAAAAAGGAAAGTCTTCAGAGTAATCTTAAAAGTAGACAGAGTGTCAGCCTCACGGACAGAAACTGGAAGTTGGTTCCACAAGAGAGGAGCTTGATAACTGAAAGCTCTGCCTCCCATTCTACTTTTAGAAACTCCAGGAACCACAAGTAAACCTGCAGWCTGAGAGTGAAGTGCTCTGTTAGGAAAGTAATGGAGCAATAAGATGTTTAAGTTGTTGAGAGCTTTGTATGTTACGGGTTATATTTTTGACTTTTGACTCACCTCGTACAAAAACATAGCTTAAATATTGTTGGGGACATATATTGGAAGCGAAAACATACACCTTCAGTTTATGATTAAGAAAAAAAAATCACTCCAAGACCTTCAGAAGCAAACTTGGAAGACAGCAGCTTTATTAAATCTAAAGTTTACAAACCAGCAGTCACCCTTTCAGACCAAAATTGGCCCATGAACCATCAGTTTGAGCARTGTTATAGTAGTCAAACTACAGTCTAAATTTTGTTGATTAAAGAGGTTATCTTGCAGTTTCAATTCCACTGAAAAACTGGTAATAAATCATTTCAACTAGTGAAGTCCGATAATATCGGCCTACAGATTTTATCGGTCCGACATTAGCATAAAAATGTAAAATCTCTACACATCTGTAACGTTTTTCTTCTGATAACAAAAGCCAGATAAATTAATGCCTGYATTTGACCAAAARGRTTATGGTCAAACTGGATTATCTAAGGGAAAGCATGATCAAAACTATTGTTTGAAATAAAATGTTAAAAATATGGCACTTTTTCCATWACTTCAGTGAAATGGTTTTTGTTTTGTACGTTTACTATGGAATGCAACCAATGGGGCATCACAGTAAAAGCAGGCATAATGTCCCTGACAGGAGATACGTGATGTCACCTTAATATCGGTTAATATCGGAATTGGAAATTAAGTGTTGAACAATATCGGCATATTGAATATCGCCAAAAAGTCAAAATGGAGCATCTCTAATTTCAACGTTAAAGTTTTTATAAGTAAACATATTTCATTTTATTTTTTTAAAAGGCACATGGAATTTGTACTGCTGAAGGTGTGAACGATCCTGCAGTGAACTGCAAGATGTTTTCCACTCTGGTAAAATACTGCTCAACTTAAATTTCTTGTAATTTGAACGGTTTAAAGTACTGAGATGATCTTGTTATCCTCTGCAGACACCCCTTATAGATGCCAACAGCACTGCAGCTGTAAAGCCAGCCCTGCTGCCACAAGTTCACGCTGGTTTGTCTCCACAACACGGACTGAAGCACCACAAACTGACCACCCTCCACGACCCTCACACAAGTGGCTACTTGTCTGCGGAATCGGCAGAATCAGCTGAAGTGGTGCCCGTAGCTCCTGCTCTGACGGTCACCTCTGCACCTGCCGACCCCCAGCTGACCACAGACGGCTCCTCTTCAGATGCATCAGCCAGCGCAGAGGTCCTAATGAAGGTGAAGAGAAGCGCCCCCGCTGTCCTCACGCACCCCATTCAGGCATGTCCAGGAAAAGTCAGATTCTTCTAAAGGGTTCAGAAGTTCCTCCCAAAGACTCAGTCGTTTCCTTTCAACTACACCGGTACTAGTAGAGTAATTGATGCAAGCATGTGCTGTGGTGGGTAGATACTGCAAATACACGTAGGGTAGAAACCATCTAATGCTTGATGTCACCAGTGTTCAAGAATGGAAAAGAAATTCTGAAATTAAAAGATTTGCATGTAACAGTTGAATAAATCTGGAATAAAACATTGTTTCTACTCATTGTGTATTGTATTTTTTGAACTTATCACTTTGTGTTTGCTTTCATAAGAACATGAGGCAACTTTTTTCCACAGAATTAAACCATGAAACAAATGGGTCAGTTCAGTTGACTAGAGATGCTCATGAAGCCAATGACTCAGACACCCAAGCTGACAAAAAACAGTCATGAATCTTTTGGTTTTTGTCAATGTTCATGTGTAACATTGCAGTGCAGTTAAACATTTTATGATGGTTTAAAAAATTCCTTAACAGGTAATTTCATGCATGGAACTCAAATTCTGCAAAACATTTAAAAATTAATGGAAAAACTTTAGTTTGTGGAAGCGACACTGTGGGAGGACCGGGCCCATTCTGATAGGTTTATTTACACAATTGGGTTATTGGTCCAAAGCTCCAGTTCAAGGTAAAGACAAGACAAATATCAAAATGGCAATGTCCCCAGTTTTAAAAAGGATTTATTGGCCAACGAATTTCAAAAGAAAAATGGCAAATTTTGAGAAAGTCCATACTTACAGCCAAAAGTAGACAGTACAAGTCCTGACTAAAATTCTGCAACACCAACATTTTAAAGCACAAGCCTGAAGAGTTTGAGGTTTTTGTTTTTATTTAAAGTCTGCTCCTTTCCTGTTCTGAATTCCAGTTTCTGTCTTGAGGGGTCTGTTCATACCTGCAAGAGACAAGGAATTAACCTGATAAAAAGGTCACTAGATTTTTATTATATTTTTTTAGTTGTACCTTCAGCTTTCTGGTCTGCTGCAGATGTCCTTTTAGTCAGAACATGTGCTGCAAATGACTTGCTGGAGTCTGAAGGTGTCATGGATTTCCAGAGCTCTTCAAATGACTCAAGAATTTCTGGCTTCAATTGTATGGCACTGAAATATTGTTCATGGGGAAAATATACCAAGTCAGAGTCATCCACGTCAGAAGAAAACAGTGGCACATCCAATTTGTCGTCAAGCATCTGTTTGTAGTCGACATCAAGTACAGGATTTGATAATTCTTCCTCTGGACTTGTGAACACTTGGCTTTCTTCCTGCAAGGGCTCCAAATTCTCATTAGTACTTTGATGCTCAGGAAGACTTATTTTAGAGTCTGCACCATTAACCAGGTTTTTGAGATCCACTGGGTGGTCACTCAAACRGACAGGTTTCTTACCCGGAGGACCATGTTGTAGCAGTACATATCCCTGGGGTACTGATGGAGGACTCAGGGATTGTTTCGGTTTGGTGGAGTTATTCTGGTAAAGCTGTTCTCCAGAGTCGTTGGAAGCTTCAGATTTGTTTTGATTGGAGTTGGGAGCATCTCTGGGCATGTAGTGAGGATAGAAGAATTGGTCAACAGCACGTTTTAAGTTGTGTGTTGAACTTTTAAACTCAGATTGATGCAATGATTGCTCAATATCAGGTTCACTTTGTTCTCCTGTAGTATATGAGCTGTGTTGGTTGATGTAAGACATGAAGTCAGGGCTGGAGTGGACATTTCCAGCTATAAAGTGGCCTTTTCGCTGTTGAGGAAAATGAACGTTAAATGGCTCCCTTTGCTCCACTGGCTCCAACCATCTACCACCTGAAGCCCAATGTTCAGAAGGGTCATTGGAACCTTCAGATTCCCTTTGTTCCAAATTTAGCAGCCCATAATGTTGGGGTGGTGACCATTGGGGGTTTGAAGAACCTGCTACAAAATAAGGGTAAAATGGTAATTGATTTGCAGTCTTAATGTTACTACTTCTTGGTAGTGCAGCAGGATTGCCATCTGGTGGTTGGAAATATTCTTGCTTTTGACCTGCATTCAAAGGGGCCCAGAGGGGTGAAAAATGAGCAGAGTTATGGTCTCTTAAAGACTGCAATATTGCTGCTTCTGAAAGCTGTTGAGGAACAGGGCCGCTCTCTAAGCCACTGCCAACATCAGGATACGTAGTCTGAGAAAATGGCTGACTCTCATAAAACTGAGGGACATCTTCACTGTCTTGTCCAGGTGAAATATGAAGGTGGTGATGAAATGCAATTTGTAGACAACAGTTTGTAAGTCCTGGTGGGCAAGACTGAGGACAGTATGCAGGCTGAACGTGTAAACTGGGGTTCAGGAATGAGGATGTCTGGGCACCTGCTTTCAATGGTAGCTGACAAGGTCCATATACTTTTCCAAGAATAGTTTCAGATGGAATTTTTGCTAGCTGGCTTTCGGTCATCAGTTGATTGTATAAGCACATTTGTTTGTGTGCTTGACCTTGAAGGATTGTTGGTTGTGATGGCTGCAGAACATGTGTGGGCTTTTTATCCAACATTGGTTGTGTGTACGATTGGTAAAGGTAGGACTGGTCGATTTGACTACGAGGATGTGGATTGGAAGGCTTTAAGTCCAATTGAGGTTCAGGCTTTTGCCGGTGATGGAATGGCTGGTAAACATGACCTTGAGAGATGTCTGTTTGTGGCAGCTGAGAAACTCTGGGCTTTGCAATGGAAGGAAAGTGGAATGACTGCTCATATACTGGGCTCTGAGGGGTTGAAGGCTGTGGTGGTTGAGTAGCAGCAGGTTTTAGAGTTTGCTTTTGTTGGGTCAGGTAATCTAACAAAGGTTGGAATACTTGGCCTTGTGGGGTTGCAGGTTTTGGAGTTGGCTGTAGTTTGCTTAAGAAGTCTAATAGAGGCTGGTGTACTTGGCCTTGTAGAGTTGCATGTTTTGGTGGCAGAGTTACTGCAGGTTTTGGACTTGGCTGTGGTCGGTTGAAGTATTCCAATAAAGGTCGGTATACTTGGCCTTGAGGGGTTTCAGGTTTCGGACTTGGCTGTGGTCGGTTGAAGTATTCCAATAAAGGTTGGTATACTTGGCCTTGAGGGGTTTCAGGTTTCGGACTTGGCTGTAGTGGGTTGTATTCCAATAAAGGTTGGCGTACTTGGCCTTGTGGGGTTGCAGGTTTTGGAGTTGGCTGTAGTTTGCTGAAGTAGCCCCATAAAGACTGGAATATTTGGCCTTGAGTGCTTGCAGGATTTGGTGGCAGTGTTACTGCTGGTTTTGGACTTTGCTTTTGTTGGGAGAAGAAGTGATAAATTGGCTGGTACACTTGGTCTTCAGGGGTTGCAGGTTGTAGAGACTCAGTAATGTAATCAGGCTTTGGACTTAGCTTTTGTTGTGTAAGAGAGTCAAATAAAGGCTGGTATTGACTTTGAGGGGTTGCAGGTAGTGGTGGCTGGGTAATGTCAGTGGGCTTTGGATTTGGTCGAGTAAAAAAATGGAAGAACTGGTGGTTCAATTGGCCTTGAGGGATTACAGGTTGTTGTGACTTAGTAACAGGTTGCTGAGGTGACTTTGATTGGGTATTTATGGGAAAAAGCTGTTGGTATGCTTGGCCTTGAGTTACAGGAGTAACAGCTGGTTTTGAAGTGGACTGTATGTAGTAAGGAAAGAATGCTTGATATCGATGGCTTTGGGTTGCTTCATGTTGTAGTGGCCATGCAACACCAGTGGGTTGTGACGATGGCCTCAATTGGGCACAGGAGAGGTAAAATGGTTGGTATATTTGACCTGGAGAGCTTTCAGGGTGGGAGGCTCGAGACATTGTGGGGTCTGAAACTTGTGACTGTTGTGTGCATGAAAGGAAAAATGGATGGTACTGCTGGCTCTGAGAAATTTCAGGCTGTGGCTGTTGTGAAGCTGTATTTAAGGCTAGTTTCAGCTGGGTACACAAGAGATAGAATGATTGGGATAAATGACCCTGAGAAGCACCAGCATCTTTAGGAGGGAGTGCCTGTTGGGTGCAGACGAGGTAGACTGGCAGGTTTTCAACATCTTGGAGTTTTCTAGACACCGAGGGATTAAGCTTCCCAGGTTTCTCAGGTACTTTTTCAAGATAAAGAGGATAAGATGGCAGTGTTGGAGGGGACGTTTGTGTATCATAAGGTGGATCAAGACGTCTTTGTTCTTGACCCTTTGGGTAGCTTGAAGGTGGCTCCGTGGGTTTCTGAGGAAACTTGGGTGGACGATTCAACAGATATTGAAGCAGATCCACCTCATCTTTAGGTTGTGGTGATTTAGTCACTGGTGACCATGTTGGCAGTACAACAGATGGTTGATAAAAAGGAAAATGTTGGGGATCTTTTTCTGTATTTTGGGGGACTGCAGATCTTACAGGCATAGTGATATGTGGCTGTTTAGTTAGGGTGGTCTCAGGATTGGTAGAGTAAGGGTGAAAGAAACTATATGAAAGAAGGGGATCATATCCTTTTGGGACCTGTTTTGGTTTACTGGGAATTTCTGGGCTCTGAAGAAAATCTGGGATCTGAGATCCCGTTTCCCCAGAACGAGGAGTTAAATGAGAATTTGGGGTGAGGGGAGACATCCAGCCACTTGGCTTTTCACTCTGCTGTACAGGACCATTTGGGAGGTCTTTGATATGAGATGCCAACAGTGACGGACAAGAAATCTTTGTTTCTTTATCTGCAGCAAGTTCAAGGGTGTAAAATCCATCCTGTAAACAAATATCAGTGGGTTAGTTTTCTGCATAAAAACGGTTCTTAGTAAAAAAAAAAAAGTTAATTTTATGATTTGCGTTTGATAGACTGATTAGCTGAGAGCTATAATCAAAAAAACAATGTGAATTGTTGCAGTCTTAAGCAAAAACCACCTCAAATTTTAGAGTTCATGCAAACAGTTCTTTCAACTTTTACATTGCCTCTGACTGTGGACTGTTGTCCACATAGTGTTCTGTGTTTGCGAGCACACAGCTGCACATCAGGGACATTTAGGGGGCCGCATAAATGCAAAACTGATGGAGGGGAAAATATTATTTGCATTAACTGCTCTAAATTTACAAGCCTGGAATTTTTTTTAGGGGGGGTGGGGTCAAACTCAACTTCAGTTCTTTCAAACTTTCCAAATTCAGGCCATTCAAAAGGAAGCCGTCTCCAACAAGATGTATAATTTACAGAAAAACAACTTCAACGTGACTAAACTTGAAAACATACCTTTTTTTTCAGGCAGGGGGTGTAGCGAACAGAGATTACTACGCCTTCAGGATGTTCAACCACTCCAAATGCACATCTGTGTGCAGCTGTCAATAAAGACTCCCAGTTTCCTTCCACTGCAAACAAAAATCAATTAGAAAATAAATAATAAAAAAACCTATATCAGCAAGAATAAAATGATCACATCAGATAAGTTTGGTATTTTTCGTCAGAAAATATAACATTACATTCTAAAAATATTGAGATTAAGAGTAGTTTCTGCGTAAAACAGAGCTTGGTTCATGTTTTACAACTTTAACAGCCAGATGAGATTATTTGATCACAGCCACTACTTCTACTGTAGAACACTTTGGTTGGTCTTGTGCTGTTTAAAGCGCTTTATAAATAAAAGTGGTGTGGTATAAAACAAGACCAAATAGTCATCTGTTATTCATGTTATTTCATGAGATTTTCTTGACGTTTAGAAGCTGACTTACAGCAGTAAATAACCCAATGCTTAATCCATCTGCATTTCTGATGATGTAGGAGATTGATYAAGAGTCAGGTCTGATGCTTTAAGGTTTTTGTGAAGTTTTCCTAAACTGATTTCACCTTTTTTAAACCAGAAAAGAGGAAGACAGGCAGAGACAAAAAAGGGGCAGCATTGGAGAGCTGAGAAACCAAAGAACAGAAAGAGCACTGAGAGAGAAGAGGAAGAGTGAGACAAGAAAGAACAATTAACAGTTATGAGTGTTTGTGATTAAGTTGTGGAACAATCTGGATTGTAGTCCTGGTCTGGTGGAACTGAGATGAAGCAGCATGCATTGACACCACTCTGTGTCTTGTCTGATGCAAATTCTGTATAYTTGACAATATTCCCAAAAATCCCTTTAAAAAAGGCAGCCTCTGTGTAGAGRCCATCTCTTAATAATGGCTACGATAAAACAGATAATGTCCCAATAATTTAAAAAAATCCACTTAGGTCTACATCTATTTGGACACTAATAGAAAGTATTTTTATAATTTATTTTTATCTGTTTACTGAAACAGGTTATAGTTCTATGCTGGACATGGACATAAAGTCTAGACTTGCAGTTTCATTTGAGGGTATCCACATTAAAATTTGAAGGGTTTTTTTAAAAAAGAAAAAATAATTTGACAATTTACTCAAAGGCCATTTCATGGGGAGGTGTGGGCAATTTCTTTGTTACAAAAGGCCTGGAGTTGAGGTGTGGTGCTTGCTGACACAGTTTACAAAGGTTTTTAGAGAAATTCATAACCAGATTAGACTCATTTATAGATAAACAGAATATTTTAAAGTAGTGGTCAATATGGGTTTAGAACAAATAATCCAACGTCATTCGCTCTTATTGAATTAATGGAAAAGATAAAAGCGTGGTTGATTAAACAGTCTTATTAGCATTTGTTTGTATAAAAAATTAAAGCATCGACTGGTATTCTTCCACCTGCCCTAGAGTCATCTCTGAAAGCACCGGGCAGTTACCTGTTCACCTCTATTTTTGGATTTAAATATTCTAAGAAGTGTGTAACTTAAGATAAATGTCTAAACATGACGTCCTCTTTGATATTTATATCATTTAACCAGYTGTTTTATTTGTATTGTCGAGGAATTACAACTTTTGGCAGTTTCTCTTTAGCAAAAATCATAAAAAGCTATATTTGATGCTCAAATCTAATCAGACTGATTATACCAGAATGGAATTACTAAGAATAAAATTTTAAAAAAGTTTTTTTTATCCTGCACAGGGACATTCAGGTGCAACATCAGCACTTTGCTTATTTACAAGTAAATACATAATTTCATTCAGGAAATACAGTATCTGCACACAAGACCACCCATGATGGATGGACACCGCACTAACACACAGCCAGAGGACAGTATGCCTCTGGCCCCAGTAGGTGGAGGATAAAWTAATAAATGAATTTTTAAAAACACACCCCCTACTACAGTGGGTATCATTACGGTTTTGTACATGAATGACTTGGTTAGTGCTTTGGGGCTTTTTATGTGTGTTTTATTTGCAGATTCCACCACATTTTTTGTGCGAGTMAATTTCAGCAGAAATTTGTGGAAATACAAACCTGGTTTCTACTAAATAAATCATCATTGAATTTGAATAAAAGTAACCACATGATATTTGGTAACAGAAAAAACTATCAATGTCCCATTTAGAATTGACGTGTTGAGATTTAAAGAGTGAGGAAGGTGAAGTTTTTGGGTGTCAKTGATGAAAATCWGACAAAAATGCCACATAAATTAAGAACAAAAATTGCTAAATCTATTGCATTCCTGTACAAAGTAAAAGAGTTATGACAATGATATAGCTCTGGATATGTTGCATAATGCAGTGATTGTTCCACAATTTATTGTATTGAAGTTTGAGGTAAAGCATGTAAAACAATTACAAATCCTATTTTGATTTTACAGAAAAGAGCTGGAAGAATTATCACTAAGAAACATTACAGTCACKCATCGATTAAATGATTGAAATCCTATGATTGATTACAATAATTTACAGGTACAGTGTGTATAAGGCTCACAAAAATGGTAAATGGACTGAACTTATATAGTGCTTTATCAAATTCCCCTGGACCCCAAAGTGCTTTTCATTTACAGTCACCCACCCATTCACACACACTTATGTAAGCTACAAAAACACATACTCCTGCTCTCAAATTGAAAATATATGCTSTAAAGTCAGGATAATTCTTCCATATACATTGTAGCCACAGCTGCCCTGGGGCACACTGACAGAGGCTGGGCTGCCAGGCACCGGTGCCGCCAGACCCTCTGACCACCATCAGTAGGCAAGGTGGGTGAAAGGTCTTGCCCAAGTACACAAGGACTGAGACAGCTGGAATGAGGGGATCGAACCGGCGACCTTCTGGTTCCYGGATGACTCCAATATTAACTTTAAACATTCAATTGCATTTTGTTAGAGAGAGCGCTACTACAATTTTAAAAGAATTAAGTTTTTTGTTAAACTTAAATTTTCAAAAGTACTTCAATAAAACAAATAAGAGAATGGAATAATCTGGAGTGACGTTAAAACTGCCGAATCAACTTGCATGTTTAAAGGGCCAATATTACCAGGGTTGCACATAAAATTTTTGGTCTGGTTCTCAGGGGAGAACCTAGGGTTGTTGCTTGGTGCTCATATTTTCCTTCACTCATTTAACACATTTATCTATAGGGACGTCCGGGCATCTAACGTCCCCCTGTTCTGTTTTATGACTCCTATCAGCTGCAACGTCTCAGGACATCATGCCAAATCAGTCCAACAAGTTTTTAATTTATTCTTTTACTCTGCATAAATTTTGTAAACTACCTAAGTGGCCGAGGGGCTGGGTGTATGTCATATAAACATCACAAACTGAACATTTCATGBTTWAATGTCTTTTAGACTAACATGTCCCTCAGATGGACAGCTCCTGTAGTTTGACCTTCTGCATCTTCAGCCTTGTTTAAACCAGCTTTCCACACTCTCCAGTCCAAGCAGTAAATATCTGCCTTTTGCACAAAACAAAATAAACTTAAAACATTCAAATGTTTTATTTATTAGACTGATTTCTTTTTTAAAAGACAATTTTATTCAAAAATATATTAGGATGGTTTCATCTCATGTAATTATTCTTTGTCTTTAATAGTTTAATAAATTACATTTATCCCAGAAAAGCTGTGTCATAGTATGGTTCTAAATATAAACAATTTTAGCACATCAAGAACATTGTTTTTAATATAAAATTGTGAATGAAATTTGTGGATCTTTATGATAAATTAAAATAACGTTTAAAACCCACCTAGAGAACATGGCATGTTGTTTTTATTTTTTAATATATATTATTTTTTGACTGGGGTGTTAAACAGAGAATCATCTTTGTTTTAATATGGGGCAAACAAATGTTCTGTTAGTTAATGTGGTTTAATTAGAAAAACTCAGTGAATCTCATTGACAGCCTGCACGCACAGCGACACTCTCATACAGCAGTCTCTCAGGAGGAGAGTTTATCACTCACACAGAGTTGGACAGATCTGTTCAATAACAACATTCTGAACATATATTTAACAAAAAGTTAGGTTTTACAAACCAAAGTCTCTGGTAGTTCAGGAGCAAAGTGCAGGAGGAGAGGAGATCAGCTCGACTCGAGCCGGCCGCTGCTTCAACCAAACCTGCTCTCACTGAAAGTCCCYCCCTGCTCTGCTCTTGATTGGATAAAACGGCTCTGGACTTCGTCTGATTTGTTGCAGGCAGTGTCCGTTTAATCCTTCTATCAGGGTCCCGCTGTGTCGCACCGAGCAACGATCCATTCACACCAGTGCSGCTGGATTTTTTTTAAGAAATCAGGTCGCGTTTGTGACCAAACTGGTCGCACTCTAGAGCCCTGCTAGCTGTTGTTTTGACAGACAAACAGGTACAATCCTAGGTTAGCAAGGGAGCTTTACGACATCCCATCTGGTGCGCTTTTTCCTTTTTTGACCGCGCATGTGTACCTGCGCACTGCTTATGTGCAACTCTGAATATTATGTGTTTCTCAGGCATATGTTTAAATACTAAACCATAATAAAGTATCCATGTCACCTTCAGCTGTTATTAAAATGCTGTTTTTATGTTTAAATAGAAAATAAACTTATCTTCTCATCACTTTCTCTTCCAAACACCTTGAAATTGGCCTCTGTCTCTTGAAGAATCACCTAACGCTTCCGTTTTGCCCATTTCACTGTGCACAGGTGGGGGGCTGCTATGATGCAGTTTCCTTGGCATCTGAAAATACATTTCCTCAAACGTATTTTTATTCTGAAAAGAGCTTCACTGAGTGAGAACTAATGTTAGGAGCTCAGCAGACAGTTAGGTTTCACTTTCAGTTTCACCCAAGAGCCTGCAGGAGTCATGGGCGGGGTGTGTGGGGAGGGGGGCTCTTCCATGAGAAAGCTGGGCTTAAAAGATACGTCCCAGGGGCGTTTCTGGTACCATAAGGCATTTCTGGTCCCCACCTGTCGTTTTGCTCCTCAGCATGGCTTCCTAAAAACGCTGCATGATTTCTCAAACATGCATGAATGAGTCAAAGCAAGGCTTTGAGCATGTTTTTTTATGAGAGTACAACATTATAACATGATATAAAACTCAAAAAAGTTGATTTTACGTGATATTGCCCCTTTAAGAGAAGGATAAATGTTTGTTGAAGGAATATGATACAGTGTGTACTGATTTGAAATGTTTTTRGGGAAGGACCAGGTTTTTTGGTATATTACTATTTGAATTTAATTTTCAGGGAAAAGGGGGGCAGAGTAAAGATTTTTCTTTTTTGTACTTCCTTTAATTTATTATTTGTGTATTTTTTGTCTTAACCCCCCCCACCCTCTTTTTGGAGATGGGTTTTTTTTTAAATAAATGAATAAATAAAAAGCTGGACTTTAATCTTTAACTGACACGATTCATGTCAGAGGAAAAACTCACCGTTTGCTTTTATGTCAGAGGCAGAGCTGGTCCACTCAGTTTGTACCAACATGCCCTCAGCATGGCAGGTGACCATCGGAGGGCTGGAGGACACCTGCTCAATCATCGGACAGGACATCTTCACCGGGAGGCCCCACCAGCGCAGTGGAAGAACGTAGCTGTTATCCTGCAACCAAAGACAAACATGAAGTCTCGGAAGCTGAGGTCAAACCTGCAGAATGTTCGGACCACAGGAAACCCACTTCGATGACGATGAAGCAACCATCGTAAGGAGCCACCAGGACCAAGCTGTTTTGAGTTGACCTGATGGTGTAGCCACAGCTGGAGGGTAACTTGGCCAGAGACAAAGGAGACAAGTGACCTGAAAAGGTTAGAGACTCATCAGCACAACACAAAAACAATACTTTTACATCAAATGATTCATGTAAGACTGAACAGGAACCAAAGATTCACCTCTGTCCACAAAGATGAGAGCTGCAGGAGTGAAGGCAGCGTCATCAACGAGAAGCTTCATGGAGCTTCGTGTGCATTCAACCTTCGACTCCGATTCAAGGAGGCGTTGTGTCGCCTCAGCGTCCGACTTCGGCCAGTCATTGTGGTCATGTAGCCTCTTTGTCTGCCACCAGCCTTCAAAACAACATTTACACAAGTTATCACCTTTAAAAAAGGTAACTGATCCATAAAATGCTCACTGTTAATGTGCAGGGTTTTTTTTAAACACCCATCTATTCCTGTGTACTGGATCCTATTGAACCATACAAACTTAGAGTGTTCAGGAGATGTCAATTTTAATTATAGCACATTTAAAAACAAGAACAAGAATGTACCATACTATACCATCTTTATTTATAGAGTACAGGACCAAAGTGCTGTACACACAAAACATGAATACATTCATAAAATCAATAAAATGTTGGAGAGATCATATTTCTCCAGTTTTAGCTTCTCTCCACTGGCTCCCTTTCAAATTCAGAATAGAATTTAAAATATTACTCCTAACATACAAAGCTCTTAACAACCAAGCTCCATCATATATTAAACATCTTATTGTTCCATACTTTCCTAACAGAGCACTTCACTCTCAGACTGCAGGTTTACTTGTGGTTCCTGGAGTTTCTAAAAGTAGAATGGGAGGCAGAGCTTTCAGTTATCAAGCTCCTCTCTTGTGGAACCAACTTCRAGTTTCTGTCAGTGAGGCTGACACTCTGTCTACTTTTAAGATTAGACTGAAGACTTTCCTTTTTGATATATCATATAATTAAACTTAGGTTTCCTGAATTATTCTTCATTTCTGCTGCTATACTTAGACTGCTGCAAACTGAGCACATTTCCTCACTCTGCTGTTGTCTTTAGTCTCTCTTCTCTACATGTTTATTGTTATTAATTCTATCATGTTTTTTCTGTGTCTCTTCCAGAAGAAGGTGTACCTGGACCAGTTCTTCTGTGTTTCGCTGTGTCTCTTTCCTGTCCCCTAACCTAGCCGGTCGAGGCAGATGGCCGCCAGTCCTGAGCCTGGTTCTGCTGGAGGTTTCTTCCTGATTAGCAGGGAGTTTCTCCTCTCCACTGTTTGTTCAGGATGGGAGACTGTGATGAAGTGATTCAACACAATCTGCTGGTTTCTTCTTTAGATTGTTCTTTTTATGTACAGTGCCCTGAGACAACATATGTTGTGACTTGGTGCTATATAAATAAACTTTAAAAAAAATGAAAAAATAAATAAATTGAGAGAGCGAGAGCGAGAGAAATTTAAAAACAGACAGGGACGACCCCGTCTGATGTCCAAAGGCTGCCACAGAAAAAGCATGGTCACCTCTGAGCTTACGCTTTCTCTTGGGCACAGTCAGGAGCAGCTGATCAGCTGACCTGAGGGATCAAGAGGGCCTATAGGGTTGTAYCAGATRGGACAGATYCGGCGGAGCAAGACCATTAAGAGCTTTAAAAGCAAATAAAACTTTGAAACGAATCCTAAAATATACGGACAGACAGTAAAGAGAAGATAAAGTCGGAAAACGATCAAACTTTCACGTGCCAGTTAAAAGACGTGCAGCGGCATTCTGCACCCCCTGCAGCTGCGAGATACAGGACTCACTGATGCCTGTATAAAGTGTTACAATAGTCCAGCTGAGTGGTAACAAAAGCGTGGACTACTGTTTCTAAATGTTTCGTGGAAAGACTTGGCTTTACTTCAGCCAGCTGCCTCAGATCACCCGCTTCTGATGTCATCATCCATAAAATGGATGTTATTAGGCGAAATCAGTCCCRTAGAATGGCTTCAGAATGTCCCGCCTGTGCTGGTTAGCAGGTTCTCCATCCCATAGAATGGCTTCCGATTGTCAACTGGTTAGTATGAGGCCATTTCATGGACTGATAACATCAGAATCCCCTGCTCAGTTGGTAAAAACTTGATTTCACAACTGTTCTGATGTGGTTCTCTAACTGAAGTCCGGCATCAACTTTTACCCCTAGATTAGTAACCAAAGGCTTGATGTACTGGGACAGTGAACCAACATCCACATCAGGTGTCTCAGTGGAGCTTCCAAAGATCATCTCAGTTTTGTTTTCATTAAACTTAAAATTCACTGCCATCCAGGCTTTTATTTCCTCCCGACACAAAAACAGAGGGCTTTGCGTTCTTTTTCTTTAACAGGACATATATCTGGGTATCATCGGCATAACAATGAAAAGCGATACCAAATTTTCTAAGTATAGAGCCGAGAGGGAACAGGTACAGAGTGAAGAGGAAGGGGTCCTAAAACTGAGCCCTGCGGGACCCCACAAAAACAAGGAGCAGAGGATACACTTTCACCAAGATGGACACAAAAAGTACGTTCAGCTAAATAGAACCTAAACCAGTCTAGAGCTGTCCTACTGATGCCGCCGCCCCCCAATGCTCCTAACGAAGATCCTATGGTCCACTGTGTTGACCAAAGTGCTTCACAAACCAGAACAACAATACAATAGAAGAAAGAACAAAACTAAAAACAACTAAAAAAAGGTCCTGATGGGAATCAATGTCCCTTTTCCAATAGTGCCACTTAGTGTAGTGTCGGTACGGTTTAGTACGGTTCCAAGTCATTTCAATTAGGCCAGATTAATGGAACTGGCCCTTGTTTTAGTGCCTACGTCATAGTGGTTCCAAGCGACCCCAATTGACAACAAAATGCGATGTCAGAACACTGTCACTGATTGGTTAGGGGGTGGAGTCAATTGTTGTGTCTAAGCTGCCTTTACAATAACAATTCAAGGAGCCATTTTTTCCAATTGTAGCAGTGACATTAGTCGTGATTCCATCCTATTTTAATTCAAAATTTTTGCAAATTTTTAAAATTTGCAAAGTTATTCATCAAATGTGTTTCCATCTCTCATTTTGCCCATTAACTTAAAAAAAAACAACAACTAAAAACCACCTCCACCAACCACCCAAAACACACCCCCTGGAACTGGACTGGAACGTCAATGGAAAAGCACCCGAACTGACCCGTACCGACACTACACTAAGTGGCACTAGTGGAAGGATCAGGGTTGAAATGAGTTTTTTGGYTATAATTTAAAGTCTGTAGACTCTGGAGAACAAAGATCAATGGGCAAGTTGTTTCAGAGTCTGATCTAAGCTCAGTCCCCTCTGAGCTTTAGACACCAGCTGCACCAAAAAGCATCTGGAGGATCTCCGTGCCCTTTGGGTTGTAAAAGTGAAAAAGATTTATTTAAATAGCTGGGTGCCAAGCCATTAAAAACTTTAAAGTCAAAGAAACTTAAAATCCATGAAATTACCAGGCAGCTGGTACAAAACTGGAGTCATGTGGTCCAGTTAAACCAGGAAGCAGCATTCTGGACTAATTGCAGGTGATGAGACGATTGTTCCAAACCAACATATAAAGAGCTGCATTCATCCAGTGTACTGGTGATGGATAAGAGTTTGGGGGTCTTTGGGAATGTAAAACTTTGRTTTGGAAACTAGCCTCAAATGAATAAGGATATTTGCTGGATCGATAAAGACAAGTGCCAAACTGAAGGCCAGCGAGCATATGTGCCCCCCACCCCACAGCATTTTAGTGACACGCAACAATTTAAATATCTTCACATAAGCAGCTTTAAAAGCCAGCATTGATCATGAATTATATCTCCTGTAATGCCTGTCGGTTATTTTGCACACTTTATGACAGAATCACATCACTATGGAGGTGCACAGGGTTCCAACATAATTAACTGAATAAAATCTGCATTTCACTGCAGCCCATGTTATGATGGGAAGTGGGAATTTTTTCCATTTACACATGGTAAATTTAAACTAGAACGCTCCTCTAGTGGGAATTCCCAGTCGGAAAGAGGGAGAGTTTAGAATTCAAAATGGCAGCTACTGACGAACAGCAAGTAAAACTCTTACTTTTAATAATATTTCTGTATTTATTTCACATTTAGTCAGTCGTACTTTTCAGTGTTTATAAGAGGACGTGTTAACACGCTGTTTCTATGCAGGAAATACCAGGTAGAGCTCAGTTACTGTTTATTAGCGGAGCTCAACTGTAGCAATGAGATGAAGAATGTGATGTTTCATGTTTAGTTAAACACAAAAAGTAAAGTTATTTACAACCATACATACCTATGGCCTCAGTGAAAATGAGTTTGACACCCAGGATAAAGAGARGCTTTGACTTCTGATGTGGAGGATGGAATTATTTTTAGCTTTAAACTGGGGAATCTTCATTGGATTTGGATCAATACTGCCCCCTTGTGACGACTTTGTGATGGAGATTTAGACTTTCAGATTCAAATGATCTCCAGTCAGCAGCCAACAAACAGCCAACCCATATGCTTCATTAATACGCTGACTTTCTACCAATGCTGCCATTTTTTCATCTTCTGTTTCAGCAGCACTGTTTAAAGATCGTCTAACTCTGGGCCTGTGGGGGCAAATCTGGCCCTTGTTATTTTGTCTCACCCCCAAATGCAAAACTTTAAAATGTAAAATCATTTTCTGGTTTCCCTTTGTCTCTGGATTTAGTGCATTCTTATTATAGCAGCTGAGCAGTTTAAGACAAGAAAATGAAGTTAGATTTTTTTCAGGAATCTTCAGTTTGGTGCAGAATGAGCCACAGAATATTTTTCTGTTCTTTTCTTGTTTAAAAATCAAATAAAATTTTTAGTAAGGGCTTGTTTTGTTTAACTGAATTGCTGGATTGTACGGATGCTGAGAGCGACCGTTTTCTGCAAATAATTGAGATAACCAGTTAATTTCCAGATGGTTTTCCTCTTGTGCATCATTCATGGAGACGGTCTGGTCCCCTCAGCTGGTCATRGACGACGTTTTATATTTATTCAGTTATTTAAACCAGGCAAATCCCATTGAGATTGCAGGTCTCTTTTGCCGGGGCGGCCTGGACCTGAAGGCAACATTTTGTGTCATTTTTTGCATCATCAGGCTGAAACTGCAGTTTGTCTTGTACAGATAACCTTCATATCAGCCTTCAGACGGCTGGCCCGACTGCAGCCCAGCAGGTGTTCACACAGTGATCCTGCTGATATAATAAACTTTATCTGTGACCAGCTGAGGGGATCGGACCACCTCCATGGTTACTGAATGATACAAGGAAAACCATAACTTGTTTTCTCAGGAAAACCATCTGGAAATTAACTCTTGGGAAAACAGTCCTTGTTTCATGATAACAAGAAAATCATGAAAAAAAATACGCTGAAAACTGCCGCTGTCGGCTTTGATTGTGATTTTAAAAAGAGAATCTCAAGAAGCTGTTGGTAGAGAAGTTAGAGCAGGGCTATTCAAGTGGCGGCCCACGGGCCACATCCGGCCCACAAGTGACCAAAGTTCAGCCCGCCAATTTCATAAGTCCAAAGCCCCGATTTTCTACTTTAATTACTACAAGTTGTTTTAGTTAAACATAGACATGTTTGGCATTTACAGAAACATTAGAATTTTGACTAGAAGCTGTTTTTATGCACACTCAAGACAGTTAAAAATGACAAAAAAATAAAATTATGAAAAGTGAAAATAAAATTTATTTAAAGATTTGGCAAGTCAGAGATGTCAAAATAATATTTGGATTAAATAGGAGACAGAATGACTCAGTTTTGTTTAATTATCACTACTTTTATAGGGTTCTGTATGTCGTATTCCTGATTAAATGCAGCAAAATAAATTATGTTAAAAAGGTAACAGATCTTTGTAATACTTGGTTTATTTACATAATAACTTTAACTGCTGGATGTTCGGCCCCTCAGCTGTTGACCTGCAGTAACTGTGGCCCCGGAGCAGTTTTCAAACAGCCCTGGTCTAGAGAGTCTTAAAATTGCAACTATTTTCATARCTTCTCCCCCCAACTAGCACCACCACAATTAGGGCAAAAACTCTATATGTAAAATCAGAAAAAAGATCAGAATTATATATATTTTAACAACAACAATTATTATAATTATCATTATCGTCATCATCATCACTATTACAAGATTTTTTAAATAAATATTGACAGATTGGTCCTTGGCTTGCAAAGACCAAGTTTTGAATTTTGGCCCCCGCCCCATGTAACTGAGTTTATCACCCCTGGTTCAAAGCAAAGAATATTGTTTGGATTTTCTCTTCATTTGGCACTGGATGAGAATATTGACAGATTGGTCCTTGGCTTGCAAAGACCAAGTTTTGAATTTTGGCCCCCGCCCCATGTAACTGAGTTTATCACCCCTGGTTTAAAGCAAAGAATATTGTTTGGATTTTCTCTTCATTTGGCACTGGATGAGAAAGTTTTGTTTTAAAATATTTAAATAAAAAATGTTATTTCTAAAACTATTTATAGGATTTAAAAATAAAATTTCCATTTTTAAATCCTATTTTCTGCACTCAGAGACCTTTATTTTTCCACTAAATTCACTTAAGTACAAACATTTAGTTTTTTTATTTTAAACTTTGTTGTATAAATTTAATGCATTCATTTCTATAAAGAATAATTTGTTAAAAAGTTTTTTTTAAATAAATATTGACAGATTAATCCTCGGCTTAGACCAAGTTTTGAATTTTGACCCGTGTGTAACTGAGTTTATCACCCCTGGTTTTAAACAAAGAATAATGTGACTTTAACTGCATCATTTTATGTTTCATTATATTTTTATTAATTTTGGTTTATTGTGTTCATTATTTTCTCTTTTTATTTATGTGCAACACTTTGGCCAATGACAGTCTAATTGTTAAACTTTCTATTTGAATAAATTAGATTTGATAACTCTTCATGCACTTTTTCTAGTTATTTTTGKAACATAAAAGCAGAAATTGAATCAGAAGAATAAAACATGTCAACAACACTACATACCCATATCTGCCTGGTACCCTGCTACATCCAGCACACTCTCTGTGGAGTTGGTCCCGTTCAGTTTGACAGCTTGCTGGGAGTTTTGTCCAATTATGAGTTTTCCATGGTGCTGATGACTTCTTCCAGCCTGACTCTGGGTTCGCGCAGCGTTTCCTCGTCTTTCATCCAGCGCCTTAAGCCTGGTCATTTTTGTACAGTGGCAAAGTGAGGTGACAAACACTAAAAGTCCCAAACATATCACAGTTCCACTGCCCCTGATCCTGACACACGCCATTAGCACAAAAACAACAAGAAGCAGCACTGCACACAGGCACAAAGCCTCAGCAGCGGATCACAGAAGCCAACTGATAATTCAGTRAGGAACATTTGAACCTTAGAGCTCTGCCTCTGCTCCTAATTATCACTAATCAACCACCTGATGACTGCAGGTGTGGCTGGTTGGGCTGAGGGGGACAGGAAGTTACTCTCAGACTGCAGGAAGTCATTTATAAATATAACAATAAACACACCAAAGCCTGCTTGTTAGCTCAGTCATTTAAATCAAATTTATTTAGAATAAACGTTTATTTTGTTCAACATGAAGAAACATTTGTATTAAC